GTGGAGCCTTTCCCCAGCAACACGAACCGTCTCCGCCACGCAGCTGTCTGGGGTGAACCGCAGCAGCACATAGGCTGGAGCTGTCCCACCCCCGGCTGGAAGCAGTAATAACACACACCAAAGACATGGCTTTTGTCCGCAGCACCCGCACGATAACAATTGTTCCAGCCCCCTGAGCACATAGCCATCCCATACCCCAAATTAGGGCAAGAAGGGCCAGAGATTCCCATAGCTAAATGGAAGCTTCAGAGGAAGTTTTGGAGACAGCCTGTAATGACAGAGGTGGCATTTGGCTAGGACACTGGAAATAAAGATGAGCACAAGCAGTCAGGATCTGCATAACGGCACTGGAGCTGCTCTGTATGAAAACGTTGTTACTCTGGGTAGTGAGACAAGATGGGTGCGATAATGTCTTCTCTTGCTAGGCCTGAAGAAGAGCTCTGTGTAGCTCAAAAGTTTGTCTCTTTCCCCAACAGAAGTTGGTCCCATAAAAGATATTATCTCACCCACCCTGTCACTCTAATATCCTGGGACCGACATGGCTACAGTAACACTGCATACAATCTGGTTAAGAACATAACAGCTGTATGGGTCAGACCAATGGTCCATCTAGCCCAGGATCCTATCTTCCAACTGTAGCCACATGCTTCAGAGGGAATGAACAGAGCATGCAATGATCAAGTGATCCATTCCCTGTTGTCCACTTCCAACTTCTGATAGAGGCTAGGAAGAGTCGGAGCATGGGGTTGCATCCCTGGCCATATTGACTAATAGCCATTGATGAACCTATCCTCCATGAACTTATCTAGTTATTTTTTGAACCCCATTATAGTTTTGGCCTTCACAAGGTCCTCTGGCAATGAGTTCCACAGGTTGACTGTGCATTGTGTGAAGAAGTACTTTTGTTTGTTTTAAATCTGCTGCCTATTAATTTCATTGGGTGACCCCTGATTTGTGTGTTATGTGCAGGGGTAAATAACACTTCCTTATTCACTTTCTCCATACAAGTCATGATTTTATAGACCTCTATCATATTCCCACTTACTCGTCTCTTTTTCAAGCTGAAAAGCCCCTGTCTTTTTAATCTCTCCTCATCTGAAAGCTGTTCCATACCCTTAATAATTTTTGTTGCCCTTTTCTGTGCCTTTTCTAATTCCAGTATATCTTTTTTGAGATGGGGTGACCAGATCTGCACTCAGTATTCAAAGTGTGGGCATACCATGGATTTATATAGTCGCATTATCATATGGTTAGTGGAATATGTACTGTATGAATATGTTTGTTTAGTTTAATAGAGGGCTGTCAGGAAAAACAAAGAGGAAGGGAAACAAATGGTCAAGATAAGCCCCACCCCTTGGTAAACACTTCAGGGTTGTTAAGAAAGACTGTCCAAACTATTAAGCTCAGAAGATTCCACCTCCTTGCTCCAGCCAAGTTATGAAACTGGTTTTGACCAGGAGGGCCAAAGTACAGGAACTAGCAAGATCAAAAGGCCAACAGTAGTTTAAAGATGAACATTGAGAGGGGAAGTTGTTTTGAGCAGTGGCTCTCAACCTTTCCAAACTACTGTACCCCTTTTAGGAGTCTGATTTGTCTTGTGTACCCCAAGTTTCATTTCACTTAAAAACTACTTGCGTACAAAATCAGACATAAAAATACAAGTGTCACAGCACACCATTACTGAAAAATTGCTGACTCTCTCATTTTTACCATATAATTATAACATAAATTATTTGGAATATAAATATTGTACTTGCATTTCAGTGTATAGTGTATAGAGCAGTATAAACAACTCATTGTCTGGATGAAATTTTAGTTTGTATTGACTTTACCAGTGCTTTTTATATAGCGTGTTGTAAAACTAGGCAAATATCTAGATGAGTTGATGTACCCCGTGGAACACCTCGGCATCTCTCTGGTTGAGAACCACTGATTATGAGGAACCAGACTAAGATGCAAGCACCCACTGGGGGTGTCAGAAGAAGGTAGGCCTGCCTGGTTACTGCCAGGAGCTGGTGTGCATTAGGTAAGATAGATGTGTGTAGACTGTTTTTAATCCTTTGATGCATTGTTCTGACTGCAAAGGAAACAATCATTTGGGTTTTAAGAAGGCTGTCTAGTCATTACGTTCACCACTGGTTGCAGATTCTTGATGGGAAGAATGGCAGCTGCTGAACCCAGTCAGACCTCTTAGGCAAGCACAATTGATAGATTAGGCCCTGGCCTTCAGTATCCCGTGAAAGAGTGAGGGTGTGATGAAGTGGAAACTTTACTGTATGTGCCTCAGTTTCCTCTATATGCTGTATTGTCACCTTGGGGTGGAAAAGAGCTGTTTTCTCTAGAGAGGCCCAGAGATGCAGGCATGATTGATGCCTAGCTTTTTCGAGTTTGGGACCCAGGTCAATGGAGAGTCTGTGAACACAATGGCAAATCCAATCTCTGGGACATTTGCTACCTGTGTTTGACCAGCCGGGGAACAAAGGACTGAGGAGAGGCCAGGTGGGACTGGCACCAGGAACTTGAACAAAGAGGAGAGAGGGACAGAGCTGGAGCCAAGGGGGTCACACTGCTTGGCCGGGGCTCTGGGCTAACCATAATGGACCATGCTGTAACTTTCTTTTCTCTGTGCTAACCAAGGCCTTCCTATGCTGTGTTCCAATTGATAATAAACCCGACTGTTTCTTAGCACTGTGTGAGTGCCCCTGCAGATGCTGGTGGGGCTGCATTGCTCCCTAAGATAGTACAAGTCTCCCTCAGGGGTCTGCCTTCATGGGACTCGCTGACTGGAGCTCATGGTGGGAAGCAGAGTGGGGGGAAGGGATAGCTCATTGGTTTGAGCATTGGCCTGCTAAACCCAGGGTTGTGAGTTCAATCCTTGAGGGGGCCATTTAGGGATCTGGGGCAAAAATCTGTCTGGGGATTGGTCCTGCTTTGAGCAGGGGGTTGGACTAGATACCTCCTGAGGTCCCTTCCAACCCTGATGTTCTATGAAGGGCCAGAGATGCAGCCTAAGGAGGTGGTGATGCTGCATGGCTTGCCCTGGAGGAAGAGTGAGACCCTCAGGGGGTCTGGCTCACTGAAGGGGTCCTCCCAGAGACTGTTCCAGAGCTGGGGCCGTAGCACTGATCCTGGGGATCCGTGACAGGGCACTCTGAGGAGAGGTAAAGGCAGGAGGCCTTAAGGGGTGCGCCAAGATCAGAAAAGAGACAGAGGTACAACTGGCCCGGTAACCATGACAACTTGTTTTGTGAAGCAGCGGATGGCAGTTCCTTCACAGCTCCCTTCCTGCTCAGGAGTGACTGGAAGGGAAAAGCAGCCCTCGTGATTCACAAGCAGCACTTACTGCACTTCTTGGTGCAGACTTGAGTCCCAGAGAGCCACAACTGGTGGTTCAAGCATAACCTGAGATGCTGGAGCGTGTACCTGGGCAGTGGTTCTTCAAACACTTTCAAACTGAAGGTTGCTTCTTTATCTGCCTGTATCTTCTTTATCTGAGACCTTCTTGGATGCTCCCCACTGCACCCTCCTGCACCTTCCCTATTGCAACAGTAGCACCCGGGTCCATGAAAAAGCTTTGTGCAGGATGAGGAAAGGCCTAGTCCACACAAGCTGAGTAGGGTCCCAGCACCTTCCACCCACTGGCAGCCCTGCCAATCAGCGCCTTCCCCTCCCTCCCTGCACCTCCTGATCAGCTGTTTCATGCTGTGCAAGAGACTACAGGGGGAGGAGTGAGGGCATGGCAGGCTCAGGGGAGGGGGCGGGAAAGGGTGGAGTGGGGGCAGGGCCTGTGGCAAAACCAGGGGCTGAGCAGTGAGCACCCCCAGCACATTGGGAAGTTGGTGCCTGTAGCTCCAGCCCCAGAGTTGGTGCCTGTACAAGGAGCCGCATGCTAACTTCTGAAGAGCCGCACGTGGCTCCAGAGCAGGTTGGCCACCCCTGGCCTAGGATCTCTATCTGGATCGCCCAGCTCTGGGCCTACTTCCTCCTTTTGATTTCCTCCCACTCCCCCAGGCTTGGTGTTTTCCACAGGTGTGGCAAGGCCAGCTTCAGCCACTGTGTCCAGGTCCGATCATTAACCCCTTCCTTCCTTGCTCCAGTAGGGGGTTTGTGCACCTTGACACACTCTAATGCACTGGGTGTGTCTGGAATGTTTTATTTTCTCTTCCAGATTCTGGATTTTACAATTATTAGTGGTTACAGCTCTGACTGCTCTGATCCACCTGGGCCACTGTGAAGTTCTGTCCTTGTGTCATCAGTGCATTTGATCACAGATGAATTCACACGTAAAAGACGTTAACAGAGTCCAGGACCCAAGTCAGACAGAGAAACAGAACTGTGCTTGGAGCCTTTGCCCACAGGACATTTCCCCCCTATCCCTCAGAGTGACGTTTTCTCTGAAGACTGTCAGAGCACAGCAGAAGCTTTTAGATGGCCAGACTGCCTCTGATTTCAGGAGCACATGCTCAGGCTTGGAAGGATTCAATTTTTGTTATCAGTAAATGTTGGCAAACATCGATGTCACCACACACAGACAAATCGGCGAACAAATATTTCCAGTCGTGATAACAGAAATTTACAGATAGGCAAAGTAAGACAAATGCTGCTTGGGAACTTCAGAGTCAGCTTGAAAGATGTTTACTCTGTATGTTCTGACATGTGATGCTGACAGTTTGTGCTTTGATCGCTATAACGTTTTAACGTTTTGAATATTGGGGACTACTGTCATCAAACAACAATTGTTTGACCCCCTCGACTTCCCACAACTGTGAAACTTTAAATAGATGAAAGTAAAAAAAAAATTTTTAATATTGACCCTATCCATCACAACTGTTAAAAAAGAAATCAACTTCTGCCAAGCCGCTCTTGTTCCACTGAGCACCTGCCAGCCGTGTCCCCTTCCTTTAGTCCAGACTGTGAGGTCACTGCAGAGTTCTGTGATGATACAGCAAAGAACCTTCTGAGCCCCGCAGGGAACAAGAAGGAGAAGCCAAGCTGGACTCATGAATCCCCAGGTAAGAGCTCTCTTTGGGGGGGTCTCCGTTTCAGACTGGCTCCACGCTGCTGCTTTCTCTTTCTCTTTTCAGAGCCCAGAGGATGGTTCCCAAACCAAAGTCAGCTCCCCATTTACACTGCTTCCCCGAGCTGACGCCATTCGCTCCAAGCTGATCTACACCTTCTACTTGATTGACCACCTTCAGGGACTGAGCCATGCCATCCCACGGCACAATATCAAGGATTTCCTTGGTAACAAACCACTCTCACTATGCCAACAGCTGGGGTCCTGTGAGGGGGTGGAATGACTGAGGAGCTCAGACACCTCTCAGCATCTCACCTTGAGTGCTCCTCTCTCCCTACAAACCACATGCAGGGACCCCCACCCCCCAGCAATATGCCCTATGCTTCTCGCTCTGCTGGACAGGCCTGCCGAGTTTCTCCATGCTGAGGTCACTGGAGAGAGCTCTGGGCACTGAGGGTGGTGGGCCCATCTCTCTCCTAGGGTTTGACAAGTGCCCACACTGCGGGTGTTTCTCTCCCCAGGAGCAGGGTTGCTGACATAAACCTAGCATTGACTCCGGAGGAGGTGTGGGCAAGGTGGTGGGTTCCTGGAGGTGCCAGCCTGATTGGCTTCCCTCCACATCCTAGCTGCAAATGGCTGTGACATGGCTGGGCTGCAGCGGGGCCGTGGCTCTATACTGGGGTTTGGGTGAGTTGTCTAAGCTGCTCTCTTACCTGTATTTATTCTCCACAACTGAGGCAGGAAAGGCCAGATCCTCAAAATGGATGGACGTTAGAAGCCTAAATACCTTTGAGGATCTGGGCCAAAATGTGCTTTTCTGCACCCATGCAGCTCCCCCAGGGGTATCACGCAGCAGTGCAGGCAGGGGACAGGCATTTTCACCCCCTCTCCTTACTGGCTGGAACTCTCTCCTGCTGGGGACAGGTCTAGCTGTGCTGGACTCTCTGGCTCCTCTTCCTCCCTGCATGTCCTCCAGGAACGAGAGTTTTGTGTCACTGTTCCCTACAGACCCCCAGAAGCAGAGGAAGCTGATGCTCACAGACCATCACCAGCTGGTTTATTTCAACATAACCCCGGTCAGGAACACCATCATCACCCCAGAGAAACGCCTACGCAACCGCATCCAAGTGCGCTGCAGCCGCTGGCCTCCCCTGACCATGTGGGCATCCTGGGTCCTGAACAGTATCCTTTGACAAATCAGGACTGACACTGCCATTGGGCGAGTCAGGGGGGCTGGTATGAAGAGAAGGAAAAAATAGACCCTAAGTGTGATAGGCAGAATCAGCTGCAAGAGAAGTGATGGAATCCCAGTAGCTTGGGACTGGACAAAGCGGAGAGTTGACCGGCAGGGGGCTGGCTAAATCTTTTCCATCTCTGTATTCTGTGGTTCTAGTGCAGCGGCAGACAAACCTTTTTGGCCTGAGGGCCGCATCGGGTTTTGTAAATTGTGTGGAGGGCCGGTTAGGGGAGGGAGTCATGGCCTGGCCCCCACCTCCTATCTTCCCCTCCCCCCCAGGACTCCTACCTCATCCAACCCTCCCGTTCCCTGACGGCCCCCCCCGGGACCCCTGCCCCATCCACACACCCCCACTCCCTGTCCCCTAACCGTCCCCGGACCCCTGCCACCCCATCCAACCCCCCTCCTTCCTGGCTGCCCCCCGGGACCCCTGCCCCATCCAACCACCCCTTCTTCCTGACTCCCCCCCGAGCCCCCATTCAACCCTGTTTTCCCCCCGAACGCCCCGACCCCTATCCACACCCCTGACCACCACCCCAAACTCCCCAGACCTCTATCCAACCCTCCCACTCCCTGCCCCCTTACCGTGCTGCCTGGAGCACCGGTGGCTGGTGGTGCTACAGCCGCACCACCTGGCTGGAGCCAGGCCATGCCACCGCTGCCTCCACCACGCAGCACAGAGACCGGGTCAGGCCGGGCTCTGCTGCCCCAGGAGCTCACAGCCCCACCGCCCAGAGCATTGCGCTGGGGGTGGAGAGAGCTGAGGCTGCGGGGGAGGGGGAACAGCAGGGGAGGGGGAACAGCAGGGGAGGGGCCGGGGGTAGCCTCCCGGGCCAGGAACTTGGGGGCCGGGCAGGACAGTCCCGCGGGCCATAGTTTGCCCACCTCTGTTCTAGTGGTCAGTGCTTCCCACCTGTATATAAAGTCCAATTTAGTGGATGAAATCTGAATTGTTGTTGCCTAATGAGGGGTGGGGTAAGTGCCATGGAGACAGTGGTCAGGGTAGAGATAAAGGCCAGGAAATGGGCACTTTGAGGCTCCAAGCTAGAGGTGGATGGTTGTTTCTCCACATGCCTTTCCTCTGACATGGGCAAACAGCTCATGATCTCCTGTCTGCCGGTCCAGAGCTGAGGCACAATGTTGAGGGTGTGTTAGGATGCTTGTGCTGGAATTTGGGCTTTATGGGATGCTGTGCTCCTTTGGGGGTTGTGTGTGGAGCTCTGTTACTTCAGCAGTAGAGCTGCTCTGGATACTACCCATTGTCTTCTGAGTTCTCAAGCATAGATGCCCCAGCCCCTGTAGAGTCTGATGGAATAACACAGTTTTTTGCATATTTCTCAGCAAGAAACGCCAGGTACCATCTTCAAAAGCTTCATCATCTGTCTCATCTTCCTGAACATGCTGGTTCTTATGATCAAGAGCGGTGAGAGGGAGACAGGGCCTCCATGCGCGTGCAAGTAGTGCCAGCCTGGCAGCCTTGGGAGCTGAGCCCCTCTGTGCCCAAGCATATATAGTGCTTGTGGGCCAGGCCTCTGCAGCCTGCCTCCAGAGGCAAGAGGGGTCTCTTGGGCCAGTTCATAATTGGAGCGAGGAGGCTGCCAATGAGAACCAAGTTATGGTGGTTTTGTGGTGTAGGCACCTGTCCACGACATATTGAATTCAGAGCACCATCTAATTTCAGCTAAGCCACCAACTAGCCATCAGATGGTGACTGTTCTCAATCACTGCTGCCCTGGCCTAGAGCCAGTGACATAGAGGTGGAGAGCTCAGAGCCCTTCATTACTGGACACCAGTTCCTTCCACGAGCTCATTCCCCTGCCCAAAGTCTCACCTCTCCCAGCTCTTTCCACTCCTGGCTGGTGCTGTCTCCCCTCCATGTCCCTGTCTCCCACAGGGCTTAGGCACTCAGCCCCCACTCAGCCCTTTTCACTAGGGCGACGTCCTTCTATAGTGCGCCACTTGTTATAGAGGCTTTGGTGCCTGGCAGAGATTGAAGTCCCTGGTGCAAGGAGGCCACAATCCAAGCTTGGGCTGACTGAGACAGGATGTGGGGGAGGGAGTTGCTGAGGTCTCTCCTGTGCCCACCTCCCCCAAGAGTCCTCACATCTCCAGTCTCCACTAGCGAGGAGCCGCTTCCAGGGCCAGAGGAGAAGGACTTGACTATGCTAAACGTTACCAAGCAGGGTACCACCGCCACTAGCACCCTAGGAGTGTATGGAGCAGCAACGTGCACCCTGAACAGTCTGCCCCACAGGGCACAGCCAGCAAATGCCTGAGTGCTGCGAGTTCCCAGAGACCAGTTACTTAGTGCTTCTCAACTGGTGCCCTCCGACTCCAGGTCCAGTTTGACTGAGCATGGCAGGACCCTCAGCTGGGGCTGGACATGTCGAATAGTCAGTGATACACAAGGAGTTTCTGTCCGTCCCCCCTTCATGGTATTTCCGTTCCCCAGTCAACACTTTGCTGGAGCCAGGCTTCAGCAACTGTATCTTGTGCTTCCCAGAGGTGATGGACAAGATGGATGCCAGCCTGGTGAGCCTGAAGCTCACCTTAGAGGTGACCGTCTGGGTCATCCTCCTCATTTTTATCATGGAGATTTTGCTGAATTGGATTGTCAGTTTCAGAGGCTTCTGGAAAAGCAGCTGGAATGTCTTCGACTTCAGCGTTACTGTGGTGGTGAGAGACACGGGGGAGTCAACAGGGGAGGGGAAGCAAAGGGCAATGCATGGACCACAAGACTAGCTCCCTGTTGCTTCATCACCTCGAGTAGCCTTGTGCCCAGAAAGGTCTGGTGGGACTCACAGTTCAGGGGGCTCTCTCAAGGGGTCCCAATGCAGGACAGAGACTGCTCCTCTTTGGCTACTCAGGCTCGTTATTGGTCATGTATTGTGGTGCCCAAATGCCTCAAAACTACCAGTGGTTTTGTGATGCTTACATCTGCCCTCTAGGGGTTCCAGTCCATCACCCAGTTCCAGCATCAGCACTTTGGGCTATGTGGTGTCTCTTCTGGCCCCAGCTCCTGGAGTCATGTGATTGTGAAACTCAGCTTTCATTATAAGAAAAAAAATAAAAGGGAAGTTTCTGGTTAGGGAGAAAAAGCTGGAAAATGTGACCCCTAAAGGCTCAGAACTTAGAAAGCAAAGACAGAACCCAGAATTTATTATTTTTAAAGCCATGATTCTGGGGGCGCCGACTCAGAGCCAGTCCCTCTTACACTCCCTGCCAGCCTGGCTCAAATCTTGGGGGAGAAGGCTGCAATGCAGAGGGGTGGTGGTGGGTTGATGCCCTGTTAAGTGGCTGTGTGTGTGGGGAGGGGGCAGGTGGGGTGTGGCATGGCCTGACTGTGCAGGGCAGCATAACCTGAGCATGGTCATCTTGCTGCTCTGTTCCCTTGACTCATAGTCTGTGATCCCCGAGTTCCTGGACTTCATTGGCATAACCAACAAGATAGCTGCCATGAGAATCATCAGGGCCTTTCGCGTCCTCCGCACCTTAAAGCTCTTCTCCAAATTCCGGCAAGTTCGGGTGATCATCCTGGCAATAGCAAAGACCTTGAAGGTACAAGACCGGTGAGGTGGGGGCATGCTGAGACAGGTGCCAGGGCTCAGGGGGAGCTGCATGTGTGCCAAACTCCCTCCTGTTGGTTAGTCTCCCAGCACTCAGCCTTGCCCTGGGCACATAGCACTGGCCTCCCAGCACTGCCACCTGCCCTGTTTGTGGAACCCCAGCCCCTATTGCTCACACACAGGTTAATTTTTAACAACCCCCCCACCCCCAGGAGACCTTGGCCTAGCCCACCCCTTTGTTGAGCAGCATCCTTGCTGTACTATGTCTAATCTAGACTGTAAGCTCCCTGGGCAGCATCAGCCCCGGCTCCTCTCTGCTTCTCCCTTGCCCAGGCCATGACCTTCATCCTGCTGCTCTTGGTGGTTTTCTTCTACGTGTTTGCCGTGTCTGGCATCTTCTTCTTCAAGAGCTACAGTCGGTCAGACCGCACCGACCTGGAGTACAGCATGTATTTCAGGTACATCTCCTTGCTTCTGGTAGTGGAATGCCCTGTCACCCAGCAGCAAGACACCCTCTTCCCTCTGGCTATAGGGGTTGCTGTCCTACTCTTTCACCTTTCTATTCCTGCTCCTCAGCGGGGTGATCTCCCAACCTCTGGGAGGACATGGGGCGGCAGAGCCAGCTGGAAGGAGCGGAGCAGTGGGGATGCGGGCGGGGGGATACACTGACACTTTACAGCTGGGCCCTGATGGGTGCTGGGCTCCCGTGGGACACCCGCAAGGCCTAGCAGCTGCCAAAAGTTGGTCTTTGTGCTTGATGGCACCCACCTCGCCCCTCAGACTCCGGTGTACGTATGTGGTCTAACTCTGGAACTGCTGGTGCTCTTGGAGATGCCGAGGGCAGTCATGGTGCCGTGTAGCATTGATACAAGGCTGCAGCTCACAAGCCCTGGCCAGTGTCTGACTTGGACCATATTAGTCTAGACCTCCATGTGAGGGGGGCAGTGGCGTAGCCAGGTGGAGGGAACGGGGGAGCGATAAAAAAAAAGGCACCACCTGCTGCAGTGCTTTTACTCACCCGGCGGCGCTCTGGGTCTTCGGCGGTGGGCCCTTCACTCGCTCCGGGTGTCTTCGGCAGCACTGAAGATCCTGCCGCCGGGTGAGTAAAAGCGCCGCAGCGGGTGGCGCCTGTCTTTTTGAATGCTGGGGCCAAGCAAACTGCTCACCTGAGTGTCACGCTGTCACCTTCCCAGAATAAGGGCCACAACTAACTGATGCCAGCCCCCTCCTCTGCAGCATGCAGCACTCATCACCACTGCCTCTGCACTTGGACTCAGCCGAGAGATCACCAGCAAAGCAGCAGGTGGCCCAGAGACAACTTGGATCCCGCAGGCATCACTAGGCCTCATGGTCAAAGCACCATGCCCTGAAGCTGTTCTCTGCCTGCAGGGATCTCCCCAACACACTGGTGACACTCTTCATCCTCTTCACCATGGATCACTGGTACGCCCTGCTCCAGGACACCTGGAAGATACCCGAGATGAACAAGGTCATCAGCAGCCTCTACATCATCCTCTGGCTGCTGATTGGATCCTTCATGTTCAGGAACTTCTTTGTGGCAATTATGGGTAAGTGCCTAGGCCCCGCACACTGCCAAGGCTGCAGGAACATTACAGCCTCCCATGCTGGCATGCAGTAGGGTCTGGCGGCCCCCATGCAAAGTCTTCTGCCCATGGTGGCTCACTATTGCTACATCTAGTTCCCCTGCAAAGCAAAGTATGGGCCCTTCTCAGCTTCTGGTGGCACCTGGTTTAGGCTCATATGGGGGGCTTTCGCCTTATAAACTCAGGGCATGTCTTGCCCCGGTCCTTGCAGACTCTCTGGACAACTAGAAAACTCCTAGAATCCCAGCAGGACAGGGACCAGGCACAGGAAAGCAGAGTAATTGTGGGGTGGGGATTGTGATTCGGTCACACCTGTTTAACTGAATCATCTCCATGTCTAGTTGGCAGCCGGTTTCAAGCGGAGTGCCCCCAGGGTCGGTCCTGGGGCGGGTTTTGTTCAATATCTTCATTAATGATCTGGAGGATGGCGTGGACTGTGCACTCTCAGCAAGTTTGCAGACGACACTAAACTGGGAGGAGTGGTAGATACGCTGGAGGGTAGGGATAGGATACAGAGGGACCTAGACAAATTAGAGGATTGGGCCAAAAGAAATCTGATGAGGTTCAACAATGACAAGTGCAGAGTCCTGCACTTAGGATGGAAGAATCCCATGCACTGCTACAGACTAGGGACTGATGGCTAGACAGCAGTTCTACAGAAAAGGACCTAGCGGTGACAGTGGATGAGAAGCTGGATATGAGTCGACTGTGTGCCCTTGTTGCCAAGAAGGCTAATGGCATTTTGGGCTGTATAAGTAGGGGCATTGCCAACATATCGAGGGACGTGATCATTCCCCTCTATTCGGTATTGGTGAGGCCTCATCTGGAGTACTGTGTCCAGTTTTGGGCCCCACACTACAAGAAAGATGTGGAAAAATTTGAAAGAGTCCAGCGGAGGGCAATAAAAATGATTAGGGGTCTGGAGCACATGACTTATGAGGAGAGGCTGAGGAAACTGGGATTGTTTAGTCTGCAGAAGAGAAGAATGAGGGGGGATTTGATAGCTGCTTTCAACTACCTGAATGGGGGTTCCAAAGAGGATGGATCTAGACTGTTCTCAGTGGTACCTGATGACAGAACAAGGAGTAATGGTCTCAAGTTGCAGTGGGGGAGGTTTAGGTTGGATATTAGGAAAATCTTTTTCACTAGAAGGTTGGTGAAGCACTGGAATGGGTTTGCCTACAGAGGTGGTGGAATCTCCTTCCTTAGAGGATTTTAATGTCAGGCTTGACAAAGCCCTGGCTGGAATGATTTGAGCAGGGGTTGGACTAGATGACCTCCTAAGGTCTCTTCCAACCCTGATATTCTATGAAACTGGGAGGACTGGTGCCAAAGGTTCAACACCCTACCCCTTTGGTTAGGGGCTGAAGGAATCCCAGCCCAGCCCTGTGGTACTCCAGGGAGACCGCCAGCAAAAAGAAGGTACAATTTGATGTTCATATGGTAATAGACAATGCAGAAATAAACCCTGTTTTTAAAATAACCTTCTAGATGCTGCCCTAGATCCCAGCTCACCAGGCATAAAGTCTAGTGGGCTCCATGCAGCAATGGTACAAGGAAGGGTAATAGTCCGTAGGGAGCCTCCATGCCCCCACTGTCCCTCCTAAGACCCTCAGGATCCCCCAGGCTTAATGGGGGCTCTGGGTTTGTCAGTGACTAATTTCCAGACTATCCGGAATGACCTGGCTGAAGAGGTGAAGCAGATAGAGGCCCAGAAGAAAGCAGATTTATTTAAAATACAGATTAGAGACAGGTGAGTGAGCACAGCACCCACCACATTTCAGGCTGGTCTGGGAGTTCCCCTAGCAGCCAGGGACCACACCTTCTAGTCTGCCCTCCTGTGCATCCCAGGCCACTGGTCCCCCCCCGCCACCAACATCAGACCAAAGTATGACAGCCCCCAGGAGACGCATCTGTCCTGTGCCCAGGCAGAACCCAGGAGGGACCAAGGGGCGCCAGTGCCCACGGCCCCTGCAGTGGCAGGAGATGATTATGTGAGATGGTTACAGGGTCAAGGGTGCAATCCAGAGCAGCAAGGGGCTGAGTCATCACCTGCCCTGTAACCCTGGGGGTCTCAAATGCTTTGCTACTGTAACTCCCTGCCCAGCATGTTCACAGTCAGCCCCCGCAGTGTCTGCGTGCTTCATAGCCCTGGTCCAGCAGCTCTGACCCCAGCAGCCTGCCAGCTCCACTCCAGTCACGGTCCCTGCTCTCTACCAGGCGTGGGTGCTACTTGCAGAGTGATGCCAACGTACACCCAGTCCTAAATCTTCCCCCATCCATGTGCTCTGTAATGTCCAGCCCTCTCCTGGACAGGTCAGAGACATAATATGGCTTGTTTGTTCCTCAAGACACAAAAGAACATCACAGCACATTTACTGGGGTAAATACACCCTCTTCTACACACACAGCATTGAGTTGGGTTACAGTAAAAATAATAATAAAAAGTAAGTATTAACAATAGGTCCTAGGATCAGTGATGCCAACTAACAGGAATAAAGTTAGAAGGGTTACAACACACATCTAAAAGTCTCAAGCTTAATCCAGCAAGCTGCAGGCTTTGTTCAAGCTGTTGTCTCTGACCAGTCATTCATCTTTGCCGTCATGGCTGACTTTCCCTGTCAGAACCTTCCACAGAAGTACCAGGTGCTGGTTACCCTTGTCTTTCTAGGTGAAAGATCTTTGCCTAAGAAGGTTTATCACCTACACTTAGGCTATGTCTACACTGGCATTTGAACGACAAAACTTTTGTCTTTCAGAGGTGTTAACTCTCCCCTCCCCCCAAAAGACAAAAGTTTTGGCATGACAAGCCCCAGTGAGAACAGCACGTTGTTGGCAGGAGTGCTCCTGCCAACAACGCAAATGTCGCTCGTTGGGGGTGGAAGTTTTTTGGCGGCAGGAGAGCTGACAAACCGCGGCTACACTGCCCAACTTTTAGCAGCACATCTGTAGTGATACAGCCATGTTGCTCAAAGCTGTGTAGTGTAGACACAGCCTCAGTTCCCAGAGACTTCAACTCCTGCTTGGCTGAAGGGCCTCTCTCTGTTTGCACGAGTTCTGTTCCACTCTGTCTGTCCAGTGATACATGCCAAAGACAGTATCTGTCCGTGCATATAGCTCGCAAAGTTCAATGTCTTTGTTTCAAGAGGCACGTGGCCTTATGCTACTTCCCCGCTTCCTGTGGGCTTCCCACCCCCTGCACGTAAATGGGGCTGCCGTTGTTTTGAGACGGGTAGACAGGTGTCTTCCCTTGGTCTGGGAGGGATCCTTTTTCTCCCTGATTGGCCACAGACTTTAAAGCACAATATCATTAAGTATCCAGATTCCTTATACAGGGTTAATACAGACATCTCACCATGATATTATTCACCAGCGTGGCATTCCAGAAAAGACCTCACTTGAGACTTTTGTAATACAGTGATACTGTATTCAGTCAGCCGATTCCATTGCTGATCATTCAGGCTCTTTACAGACCAGTAAATCTTTGCAATGAACTTTTCTGAGGTCACCCCTCAAAGTGACGTTCATTCAAGCTGCGGAAGGCGACAGGGAGTCTGGTGGTGAAGGAAGCTCCATGCTCTTTCTTCCTCCAGGGATTAGCTTAATAGCTTTGTCTACCTAATGTGTAAAAATGGACCTTCATTGTCCTTGCTTGAAGGCCAGGTTGGCCAGAGAATCAACTACACATTCCTTTGTCTAGAGCAGACTCCCCCAGCATGCCCAGTTTAGTCATAACTGTAGCACGTATCCATAACTCAATCCACACTATGTACATGCATCACAAGAATACGAATGATCAGGAAGTTAGTAGTTTTCAAATGATACCTCACAAGGCACATTTTGTACAAAGACTATTACAATAGTGTGTAGGGTGTGAATACCGGGGGGTTACGGTCGGAGATATACCCAGATAATCTGGGCAAGTGACCCACACTCACGCTGCAGGGGAAGGCAAAAGCCCCTTGGCACAGATCCACAGGGTTGGTGCTATGCCCCTAGCTTTGGAACAGTCTCTTGGAGGAGCCCCTTTGGTGAGCCAGATCCTCTGGGGGTCTCACTCGGCCTTCAGGGTTGGCCACACGCTCTCACCACCTCTGGAGACAACCTCTGGGGCTCCAGCTTCACAACAGGAGCTCTGCTAGTGAGTCCAACTGCGACAGCCTGGCAGAGACTCGCCCACTCTGCAGGGACTAAGCACCTCACCCAGCGGCTGCAGGGACACACGCTGTGAAAACAGGCAGGTTTATAGTCACCTGGACACGCCTAGGGAGGCCTTCGGGCAGCAGAGAAACGAAGGTCCAGGCTGGTCAGCCCAGAGCACTTCACCAGCCCCGCTGCCGTGAAGCCCAATTCAGGCTCGGTCCTTCCTTAGTTCCTGGGTGAAAAGCCAAGTCCTTATTATTCCCCCATCTTCCCCCTCCCCATCCTTTGTTCTCCCCTCTGATAGCTAGAAACCACCTTCTAATTTCCAGCCTGAATTTGTTCTTGGCCAGTTTATCCCCATTTGTTCTTGTGCCAACATTGTCCTTTAGCTTCAATAGCCCTTCACCCTCCCTGGTGCTTATCTTCCTGATGCATTTATAGCCAGCAGTCATAGCCCTTTCTGCCTTCATTGTGCCAGGCTAAACAAGACCAGCTCATCCAGTCTCCTCTCATAAGGCAGGACCTCCGTTCCCCTAGTAGCTCTTCTCTGCATCTGTTCCAGTCTGAATTCATTTTTCTTGCCCATGGGTGACCAGAACTGTACACAGTGCCTCATGCACTGGCATGAATACTTCTCTCTGCTGGAAATACTTTGCCTGCTAGGAGCGGATTTGCCTTTTTTTGCAGTGCATCACTGATAGCTCATGCTTGATCACAGGATGACTAACATCCCTAGCTCTCCTCTGCTGCTTCCAATTGAGGTTTGCAGAGATGCCCTTGGGGTTAGCGTGGGCATCCATAAGCATTAAGGTAGGGCAATGATGGGTGAGTCCTGAGGCACCTGTCCCCCAGAGTAGTGGGTACAGCCCCCCTGCATTCACCATAGCACCCTGTCCTCAGAAGGGCAGGGACCGCAGGGTTTGGCCTTAACTCAGAAAACTCAGCCCTGGGCACAGGCACCTGCATATGATACAGGGCTCTCAGGGCACAGCCCCTGCGCCCACACCCACCCTAGCTGGACCTGGACAGCTTGCCTGCCAAGCCCTTTATTTCAGGCCACGGCTGAGCCAGCCCCAGGGCTGCGGCTGACCTGGGTCGCCATCCGTGGTGGGGTTTAGAACCAGCAGCGTTTCTCTCCAGCGATACGTTGGGTTCCTCTCTCTTCAGCAGGTCTCAAGCCCCAGGCTCAGAGGTGGGCCCAGGAGCAGAGGCAACCTCTAGTGAACCGCAGTCGGAGTACAAGGTGATAGTGAAGTCGAGCGCGAAGGACTGTAAGTGCACGTGCCCCACCTAGGGCAGGGGGAGCGTTCGCCTAGCTGCAGGAGCCTGAGCAGAGTGGTGCTGAGCTAACGCTGCTTCTGTTCTGCATCTCATTGTGCTGGGGAGGCTGCAGCCTGGGGATACCCGTTCCTGGGCGCACCACACCCAAGGCTTGGGCGCAGGGGCAGAGAGCAGCAGAAGGGAAGTCCACAGTGAACCACTCTCCTTCCCCCAGCAGCAGGAGTCCCTGTTCCATGTGCAAGGGGAGGGGGCGTTCGAGACCGAAGGGCCCTTTACCTCCCCTCACAGCAGGGCAGGAATCTCATCCCACCATGCAGGAGATGCACGGGAATTGAGGGGGGCCTTTGCCAGTCCTGAAGCTGCAGCCTTTGCCTTTGACAGTGGACTGGGAGACATACATCCACCAGAACCTGCAGAGCCTGGTGGCGGTAAATGAGGATGGGCAGGTGGTGTGGCCCAGCGACTCCCTCTTCCGCTACTTCGAACTGCTGGAGCAGCTGCAGCACAACCTGGAAGAGCGCAAGAGGCTGCAGCATTATGCAGGTGAGTCGGAGGCAAACAGCAGGGTGAGGGGGGCAGGTTCCTAAGCACACATGGGCGAGCAAGCCCAACAAGGGAAGATGTGCGCCTGCCCCTCCTTTGAGACACTGCCTGGCCTCCTTTCTGCCGGCAGCATTTCATTCTTCTCAGCTCAGCCCTCCCTCCCCCCAGCACCAGTGAAACAACCCCCCAGCTAGGGAACAGGGCTCCCTGCAAGGCAATTTCCATGCCCCAGGCCTGCTCCCACCCGTTTGCTCTTGGGGCAGGGCATGCCCATTGCTATTGGCCAGGAAGGCTAGTTGTCCCCCATTCATAACTAGGTGCCCAGAATGGAAGAGACTGGTCCAGGGGCCGCCACCTCAGGGCAGGGTCTGCTCTGCACACAGAGCCCACAGTGGCGCTGCCTTTTCCCCATGGCCTGGCATGAGCATCCTCCCGGGCTGAACTGCATTGGATTGTCTACCCCTTCCATTTATTTCTCTGACCTCCCTGGGATGTGCAGCTCCTCCCAACTTAGCATCTCCTGAGCATGCAATCGCTGTGCCATGTAACCTCAGCTTCCTGTCATGCTGTCAGATCAGCACCTCTCCACCCCACTGCTCAGTACAGCTGCATGAGGGGCTGGTGCTCCAGGACCACGGCAGCTCCCGACCAGCAGAAAGCCGCTAGCTGCAGAGATCTGAACACAGGAGTGGTTGGCCCTTGCCATTCTGCAGGACTGTGTCTCCTCCACTTACGTAATTCGCTACAAGCTGATAAGCCCCTGTGGTTGGGGGACAGGGCCATTACTTCACCAGCAGCAAACACCCAGACCTCTTCTACCTTCCTTTCCTACAGTCATGGCCTTATTGAACATGGAGGACAAGTAGGGAGCCACGTCCAAGGGGCTCAGTGCAGCAGGAGAGCCCGTCCCACAAGGGGAGAAGTCAGCATCACTACGCTGCAGAGAGAACTACAGAACTGCCTGCGGGAACAGCTGTCCCGACCCCTCCCTCCCGGACTTCCGCATTCCCGCTCCAATCCTGCTGCAGGCTCAAGGCAGCTGGCCCTAGAGGCAGTCTTGAGACCTGGGCTAGATTAAACAGGAAGTAGCAGACCCTTGTACTCTTGGCAGCAGGTGCTGATTCAGCCCTCCACCCCCTTCCCTCTAGCTGTGGCTGCCCCCCCTCCACTGCACAGCAAAGTGCCCCACCAGCCTGCCTCCCCTTTTCCCTTGGGGTGCTGATGCAGGCTAACTGCACCATGCGGGAGCCTCCGACCTCCAACAAGCAGGCTGGGTCTGGGGCAACTCAAGAACCAGCCGCCAAGCTGCAGACCTTGCCTGGCCTGTGCTGCTGTGGGGAGTGCTTCCCCTCAGCTCGCTGCAGGACGTGGTCAGCAGTGGCAGACAGGGAACGGATAGCAGAGCCTGGATTCTTTATAGATCTGAGCTCCTCCATCCAGTTTACAGGATTCCCATCTGCTCTTGCCCACGGCAGCAGTTCCTTTGGGGCCAGCTGTTACTGGTGCCTCCCCCGTCTGCTAGCATCAGGAGAGCAAAGAGGCATGGGCTAGAGGTCAGCACTGCTACTCTGGGAAGGGGGCTCTGGTCCCAGTTCCTCCATCTCTAGAACAGGGATAAGGCACAGCTCACAGGAACACAGATTGATTCTTCTTCAGCCAGAGACCAGGCTTGTCTCAGCAAACAACCTGTGCACCGCATTCCCCGCAGCACCTGGGTTGTGACCCTGGGTACTGCCCAGTGCCACCAGTGACGGCCTGGGGCAGCATCTCCTCCTCTGGCTGATGAGCCATTGTGCCTGAAGAGCAGGCACAACCCCTGGGCACAGCCCCTGCCACTCAGCTCCACAGCCCCTGCCACTCAGCTCCACAGCCCCTGCCACTCAGCTCCACAGCCCCTGCCTGCCTCCTAAGGCTACCAGGAGCCGGCACGACACTCTCCAGTGCTCGCCAGAGGGCACTGCAGCACCAAGCAAGCCTGGCCCGAGACAGGGCTGTTCCCCACCCCTGCCCCAGGCTGCTGCCCACAGGGCCATGCAGAGCATTGTCCTGCCCTCCCTCGGCACCAGGCCCCTTCTCCCTGCCTTCCTTTGCTCTGCTCCAGGCTGGGGCAGCGGTTTCAGGGCTGGCTCTGGCCCTGCCCAGCCACCACACTCAAGGGCATCTCACAGGATCAGCTCTCTGCCTTTCCCATGTGATGGAGATGCACCCCCCACCCCCGCCACAAGGACCCCCCCGTGGAGCCCATCTCCTGCCAGAACCCAGACCTCCCCCCAGCAGGGAGTAGAGGGAGCTGGCTTTCCTGGGTGCAGCAGAGTCTTTAATGCACACCACACAATTTCCATTTGTAAAATCAGTTCGATAGACGTTTAAAAGGATAAAATGGAGGGGCTGCTTTGTGAACACCCCCCATCACCACAACATCTGAGTGATGGTGATCAGGAGTTTACACGTTCACCTCACCTGCCGGCCCAAGTGCAGGCATTACGCTTGTGAACAGCCTACTGCTAGACTATTAATCCAGGCCCTACTTGGGCTCCAGAGCAAAAACCAGGCTGCCCTGAACCCACCCCCAAGTCCCAAGACCCTCCCACCCCTAAAACTCATCCCAGTCCATCTCCAGGAGACACCCTGGTAGCCGGGGCTGAACCTGTAGCTGATGGTTTCCCAGGCCGGCGTCTGCCTCAGTACATGTGAGCACAGCCAGCAGCTGCCCAAGCAGGGCCAATGACGTCAGCCCAGGAAGCGCAAGGCAGCCATGACGGAGAAGCCCAGCAGCATGGAGAGCACTTTGGGCAGGCGGCACTTTGGGGAGTTGAGTTCGTGAGGCAGGATCTCGAGGAAGGTGATATAGACAAAGGTCCCTGCAGCGATCCCTTCCAGCAGGCACTGGGCCATGGTGCTGCCGGGGCCCGGGTTCTGCATCATCACGATCCCCACGGCGATGCCAAGGGGAGACATGAGGGCGAAGGTGCCAATCAAAGCCACAAACCAGCGGGTGGGGACTTGGCTCTGGAGCAGCAGGAGGGAGAGGCCGACAGCAATCACGCTCTTGTGCACCAGGATGGCAATGCAGATCTGCAGCACCTTGGACTCAGTGTCCTGCAGCCCCACGGCCAGGCCCTCGAACAGCGAGTGCACCGACAGAGACAAGAAGAGGACAAAGGAGCGGAAGGACGAGTGGACCCGAAAGTCTGCAGGCAAGTGGGGCACACCCGTCTCCACCACCCACTCACCAGTGCCTGCTGGCTGAGGGGTGGCCTCCCCACAGGAGAGGAGGGGGGTGGCCTCCCCTGCCTGCTGCTCACTGCAGTCCAGGACTACGTGCTCGATTATGAGAACCAGCAGGAAGCCAAGAGTCAGGACGAACTCAGGAAAGGGAAAATCCACCTGGGGAAGCAGAGAGAGCATTGGCCGGAGCAGAGGGGTCCAGCCCCCCCAACCCAGCAGAGCAGCTCCCTGGGCAGCGACCCACCGCTAGTGACCTGCTTCGGTGGAGACGGCCCCAGGGCCAGCTGGGGGGGATGTGGTGGGGGTGGGGGGCTGCAATGG